CGGGGAGGCCCAGAGGCCGTGGGGCGCTGCAGAGTGCCGCCGTTGCCCTCCCGCCCCGACGGCTTTGAACTTTTCACCGTGTCCCTGCTGCGGCTCTGCCGAGCGCTGCTGGGGCAGGAGCACAGCGCTCCCCATGTGCTTGTCGTTACAGCCCACAGCTCATCCACAGGATTTTCAAATAAATAATTAGTCGCTTGTGTAAACACCAACTTGTTCTGCACTTCCCAGTCTGTTTGCTGCAAGCTGCTTTATAAACACTGTCAAGTGCTTAAGCTGGGCTGGTGGGAGTGTTTACCAGAGCAGAGAGCTGTGCGCAGAGGGGATCCCACCCCAGCCCCACAGCCTCCCTCCGCACCGCGCTCACGTGCAGGGACCTGGGTTCGGTGCAGGGCTCCCCTGCGTGGGGGTGAGGCAGTGTGGGCAGCCGGGCGAGGAGGCACCCTCCGGGCAAATGGACGGCACAGCTTGGCATGGCACGGCACAGCCAGAGGACCCCGGGGACGCTTGCCGGTGTGAGCAGGGCAGCGTCAGTACAGCACGGTCCAAACTCTCCCCGAATTAGTGCTGAGTGCCAGCTGCGCTGGAGGGAGCACGGTGCCGCCGCCCCGGTCTGGCTGCCCCGTGTGGTTAATTACGGCGGGTTTGCAGGTGAAGCGCGGTCGCAGGAAGTACACGCTGGACCTGCTCCGCTCCTGCAGTGTTTACACAACACTCACGGTTTAGGCAAAGTCCCCTCGGTGCGAGGACAGCAGCAGGGATATTCTCAGGGAGCAAATACAACCTCAGCCTGCCAAGAGCCAGCGTGAAGCTTATGCTGCTGCCACGTACCCCATCTCTCGAGGCTTGTTCAGTGCAAGGGCAGGGGACTGGCATGGGAAACCTTGAAGCCACAAGCACACACCAGACAAGCCGAGCACAACCCAGACGAGCAAACACTTTTTCCTCCTCGTTTCCTCGCTTTCTAGCCCAAAGAGAGCCTGGGCCTCCGGCCACAGCTGCCCACTCAGCACAGAAAAGCTGCTGGCATCCAGGATGCTGAAAAGCCGGTGCCAAGGCGGGTCACAGCACGATCCCCACACTTCAAAACCTCCCTGCAAGCACACAACGCCTGCGGCGTGCCCACCAGCAGAGGCTGCAGCAGAAGGGCCCAACTTCCAGCTCTTCCCACCCTCACCTCAGGACACGAATTCTGATTCCTTTGGCTATTGCAGCCATCAGTCAAGCTCAGGTTGCTGCAAACAATTTCCAGTCTAAACATTAGCAGGATTTATGCCATTATCCCATTGACAGCAAGAATTTGGGGTAACCCGAATTGCTCTGAATTCATTTATGGAGAGACCTGGCCCCTGCATCTGAGATGACAGTAAGCCTTGTTTGCAATTCAATCAGGATAAATTGGTCCTTGGGAGTTCCAATACAAACCAGAAAATGTAAACCATCCAGATAATTTACCATTAGTCCTCCTACACACAAGGTGAGAAAGACCAACATTATATCCCCGGGATATTTGAGACCTAATCCACAATAACTAAATTGCTGATGTATTGCCTCTTGCTGAACGTATCAGGCTATCCGTAATGTAAACGGGCTCTCCGAAGGTTTACTGAGTCTGGGAGAGAAGGACCAGATGCTTGTGCGAGGGCTGGAGGCAGGACAAAGCCCGGTTACAGCAGCAGCGGTAATGAACCCCGGGGAGCTGCCAGGTTGGCTGCCAGCAGCCGGCTGGACATCAGCTGGGAGTGCAGGGGAATTTGGGTTTCCAGGTCCTGGAGCTGGACAGGGAATTGGAATTTCATCTTGGAAGTCTGTTTAGGGGGTTGAAAATACACAAAGACAACAGGCTCCAGAAATGCCTTTGCCAGCAGGCAGTCACAGTTTTGCAGGGGTTCACCCGGTTTTGTGTGGTCTCAGCAGACTCTCAGCCCCGCGCCCAGCAGGCTCAGGCACAGGGGCAGCACCCGGGAGAAATTGCCCCGAGCCCTCCCCAGCCCCGGGGCAGGCAGAGCCTGGCTCTGGGGAGGTTTTCATGGCAGCAGCCAGCTCCACGCTGCCGGCAGATTCCCCAACCTGCCTCTGTGCAAACTTTGGACAAGCCCATCAAATAACGATAGTGGCACCTGGATATCAGAGGGGCTGGGAGGGGAGCGGGAGGAGGAAGAGGAGGAGGAAAGGAGAGCGGGCTGCTAAGGAGAGCAGGGCCGCACGCAAGGATGGGGTCCGCGGGGCACGCGGCAGTCCTCACTCCTGGCACGAGGAGCCTGGCCCCTGAGCCGGCCAGAGCAGGGCTGCTGGGGTACGAATCCAGCGGGTACCCGAGGGGAGATAAAGAGACTACGCAGGGGTGGGAGGAGACGTGCTCCTGCAGACCAGCACTGGGACCAGCCACCCCTTCCGAGGGTGGCAGAGCTCCCAGGAGCTCACCAAAGGCCCCGGGCCAGTGTCAAGCACCAGTAGGATGGGGCGATGCTGGCATGGCACCCTGCACCCTGCACCAGGAGGCACTGCCACCACCATGAGTCCCCACAGCTTCCCCAGTCCGGCCCTGCCCCGCAGAGCGGCTGCACCCCAGCAGGGGGGATACAGCCAGCAGGAGAGGAGGCATCTCTCAAACGAGCAGAAGCCCACACACGCGTTTATCTCGCTGCATGCCTTGCCCTCCCTTGGCAAAAGTCTCCGGCAGGCAAAGCTTCCCCAAGACATCTAAAGCTCGCAGCCCCAGGTGCGGCGGCGTGGCTCCCCAGCCCAGGGAGCAGA